ACACAAACAGCACGGACTGGCTCTGCCCTCCCATCACAGAATTCAACTGTTGGTAGTAGGAGCCAATGGCTACTGGATTGTGTGTGTATGTGTGTGTGTGGGGGGGGGCATATTACTACCTAAGCATTTTTTACCGTAATGCAGGGAATGCATTAAGTAAAAAAATATTTAGGCTTTATAATCAATTTAACGCATGAAATGAAAAAAAAATACCATGTAGGGTAAAAAAATTTGCAGCATGAAAACTGTGAAAAGCATAGGTTTGCATTTGGAGAAACAATACCTCAGAATTCTAACATGATCCAGATAAAAGGTTCTGATTCGCTCCTCTGTACACAACTTTAAGGACCATGTTTGGAAAAACTACATAAGTCCATTGTCATTAGCAACCTACCCCAAACTAACCTAGAAACTTCCCACCCATGACAACCATAGCCCCCTCCAGTGTTTACCTCTTCTGCGCCACAGTCTTCTCAACACTGTCCTCACATGCATGTGAGCCCTATAGACTACAGTCGGTCCACCCTCTAAGGGTATGCAGTCTTGAAGTACTGCCCCTGTGGATTCACCCACACTCAACTGGAAAATCAGATCACATTTGAGAAATAGTTACAATGGTTAATGGTACATTGTTGGCACTGGTAATTTGCCATCTCCAAATGGCCAACCATAGATTTTACCAGTACCATGGAATGCTGTGGTTATTCGTCTCCCTTAATCAAGTGCTACTATCTAAGTCTAATCCACTATGACTATCTAAGTCTACATTCAGCACACATTCAACATGCAAATGCCAATGAGGACTTTGGTCTATTGTCCTCATTTGTACTTGCCACTTGGAACCTATAGCTGCACAGAAACCAGGGCAAACCCAAGCATCTTATTCTAAATGTGGCCAGTCAATAGTAAAATATCTTAAGAAGCATATGGTAATAATTGCAAGAGTATAGTTAGAGGAAATGCTGCAAAAATACATGTGAATTATCTACTTTGTTACCAGGCCATGTCAGTTGAATATAATTGTGAAAATTAGGCTTAGGAGTACCTCACCGATGGCATCATGTAGCTGATTTATACAGTACTCCAGCCAGAATCCTAAAAGCAAAAACTAATTGACTGCATTTTACAATAACTATAATCTGATCTAAGCAGAACTTGTCCTTTCTTTTTTATCTGTTTTTAGAATTGTGTACCATGTCCTAAGATTATCAGAAAAGGAAATTCATGTGCTTGACCCTGTGGTAGTTGGATGATTGTAGCTGGACCATGATACAGTATATTGAAACATTCACTGCCATCAGATGAACTAAAAAAGGTCAGTAGGATGAGAGGTAAAACATTTCAAGAATAACCAGCCATCTAATTGTGTTTGATCTCATCTACTGCTAACAATCTATGAGCACTATAACTTTGCTTTGTAGCTTTGCAGCTTTTCTACTTAACCTGCAAAACTCAAATATTATAACACTACGCCTTAAACATTTTCTTGCCTGCATTTGGTCTGCATTCAGCAATGTAATCTGTGTTTAACTTGATACTGTGATACAGCAGTTCCATAGCACAGATGATAGTGATAACAAGTACTTAAGTTAGAAAGATATTTGGTATAAATCCTCATGCACGCTGGACGTTTTTACAGCTGCTGTTTTTGGCTTTTGACGTTTTTTTCTACAGCCAGTAAACTCCCCAGCATGTTATCCTATGTGTCCATGCACACATAGACTGTAATCAACATTTTTTGGCAGGGGCGTTTTTTGGCTGGAAAAAACCCCCAGAACTAGTGGGTATCTAGAGGAGTTTTTTTTAGCCGTAAAAACAAGCTAATGTGGCAAAACGCGGAAAATGTGGTAAATCACGGTAAAGTGCGGAAAAAACAGCATTTTTGTAAGTTTTTTTGACCAAGAAAATTTTTTTTTGGTAAAAAAAACCCTCTAAAAAACGCAAAAAAAGTGGCAAAATGCCATTATACGCTAATATAAAAATGCTAAAAAATGCTGAAAAACTCACATTTTTAACGTGATTTTACACAGCTAACATTACCACCGTTATTAAAATGCCCAGTGTGCATGGAGCCTAAGTAGAATGTGGTATAATAATTAAGTGTTCTTGCATGGCAAGACCACTTACTGTTATCTCACATATATATTCTTATTATTATAGCCAAATTTACCACCCTAACTCCTCCCACAGTTTTTACACCACATAGACAGTAATATACCGAAACGTGCAGATTTTTTCCCGATTGGTGTGCTATTACTTTGTTGAACGTTTCGCCGAATGGTTCACGAAATATCGACGTTTTTGTGGTGAAATTGGTCTCATAGGAATGAATAGCGGAATGTTCAAAACTAGGGTGGGAGCTGACAAAAGCTAGAGTGTGAGCTGAAAAATCAGGACATGATTTCTAAACTGCCATCACTCCCTCCCTTTCAAGCCCACCTACACAAATCCTATATCAAAACGTTCAGCTATCCCTGTTGCCACTAAAAATGTCCACAGCTAAGCCATAGTCCTGATAGTTTTCACAATATGACCATTTGTTTGCAACTCACGCCGCCCATTGACATTTATTGAAACTCCACTCTAGACACCTCAAATTTGAAGGGCAATTTCTAAACTGCGACTGTGCCTTCATTTGTAATATTTCAGAGAAATACTCCAACCACACAACAGGTACTCAAGCCACTCCACCCAGTTACTCCGCCCACTCCAGTTGTAGACTACTGGTGGAGGCAAGAACACTTCACACAATTTCCCCAGAAATTGTAGCTTTTCTAGTTCTATATGGAATTTCCAGGTAAAATTTAAAGTAAACGCATTCTAAATTCTGACACAGAGCCAGTATCAGAATTAAAGATTTGGATTCCAGTAAGTGAACACAGTCCAGAGTTGAATTAGTGTTTTTTTGCCGGCGTTCAGCAGTGTTTAGCCTAGCGTGTAAGCTACGTTTAGTAGCTTCAGCATTAAGGAGGGGCCGCCTTTGTTAGGGAGAGGGCCGGGAAGCCGACCACCATGTCCCTAACAAGGGATAAGTCACAAGCTGTCAGTGGGGTTGCGTGCTGACAGCTGAGTGTAAAAAAAAAACATTGGCAGCAATTAAAAAATTTGAGAAACGGTGTGCGGGTCCCCCCAATCCTTACCAGGCCCTTTGGGTCTGGTATGTATTTTAAGGGGAAACCCAGACCAAAACACCGTCACTGGACATGCTGGTTTGGTGACGTCACAAGGGGGCAGGGTCTCCTGGGGACGTCACCAGATGGCCCTGCTCCTTAGTTATTTAAGAGCTGTCAGATGGAGGGAACCTTCATTGGGACCGGAGGTTTCTTGTTTGTTTGTTTTTTTGACTCAGCAGTGGCGACTGGGGGACATTTTTTTTTTAAATAAAAGATTTGTCTAAAACTTGTGTTGTGTTTCTATTTAATTTTTACACTTTTTGGTGACTGAGCAGGGATACTATGTACCCCATACTCATTCACATGGGGGGCAGGATCTGGGGACCCCCTTATTAAAGGAGGCTTCCAGATTTTGATAAGTCCCTAACCTGCAGACCCCCCACAACCACCGCTCAGGGTTGTGGGGAAGAGGCCCATTTTCTCATCAACATGGGGACAAGGAGCTTTGGCCCTGCCCCTAAGCACCCCCCCCCCCCATATTGAGGGCATGTGGCCTGGTATGATTCAAGAGATGGTGGGTTGCTAGTTTCTCCTCCCCCTTTCCTAACCTGCCAGGCTGTATGCTTGGATAAGGGTCTGGTATGGATTTTAGGGGGAGACCCCATGCTGTTTTTTCCCCTCAAAGGGTTCCCCTTAAAATCCATACCAGACCCAAAGTGCCTGGTATAGATTGGGGGGGAGACCCCCCACACCATTTTTTACCCATTTTTGTATTGCCTGCAATGTTTTTTTAGCGGGGAACCCCACTAACAGCTGATGACTCATCCGTTGTTAAGAACACAGCGGTTGGCTTCCTGGCCCTCTCCTCAGCAACCAGTGAAAAAAAACTCTGCTATCGGCGTTTAACAAAGTTTAAGAGAGTTTAGCAGAATTTAGAAGCTGTCAACATTTTTTCTGCCAAAACGCTGCTGCTCGTGGACACACTGGCCCTGCTTATTTTCCTACTAAAAGCTTATAAATGTCTATGTGTGCATGGACTCATAGAATAATATGGAGGGCCATTTAAAAGCAGTAAAAAAAAATACCTGACACCCCTATAAGTGTCGGAAAAAATGCCTTGTGTGCATTAGGCCTTTTCTTCATGGTCATAGTGCCTTCCAACAAGAATAGATAAATACTAAGTATCAAGGATGGGGTAATGAATAATATGCTATTCAGAAGTATATATAAAAAAGAGAGAAATGCTAACCTACCATAATGCAGACTGTTTGTTGTGTAACCGTAACTGATGCACTTGTATATAACAACTATAAAAATGTGTTTTTTTTTATCCCTGTGCATTAAAAGAAATGCTAAGCTGTTATCATTAAAAAGATGGTTCATGTTTACTTTACAAAACCTTCCTATGCATTACAGTATCCTCAATACTTTAACATGATGTGCCCCATTTTGTAAATAAATTCTTTTTTGTTAGATTCTCATATAACTGACCTTCCTGATCCATCCTGCAGAGGGCAGGATGTACCCGCAAACTCACAAGCGAGGCTTCATTCCCTACCCATGCATGCGCAGGCAACATTTTGTGAGTAAAGAGAGAGAACTGGGCTTTCGTAGGTATGGAACAAAGCCAAGTTTTCATTCTTGTGTTTCCAGGGCCATGCATCTAGCAGCTACTTCCTGCCAGTTTAGTATAAAAACCTGTTGATTTCAGCAAGATCACCACCCTTTGTGTGGAGAGAGCCTCAATCGGAAGCAAATATAAACAGCACTGAGAACTTGGTTTGCTCCACAAGACACAAATTTTTATGGCAAGATTGGAAAAGGCATACCTTTCCACTCTTCTCCCAAACCAGTTACATAATTCTGTTATACTAACGATATTTTCATCATCTGAACCAGCGGCGGACTGACAACTCATGGGGCCCCCGGGCAATAGGGGATCATGGGGCCCCTGTGTTCTTGCCCAAACTCAAAAAAGCCTATGAAAAAGGTACCAGGGGCATCTCATGGGGCCCCCTACTGACCCCAGGCTCCCGTGCAGTGCCCGAGTTTCCAAATGGTCAGTCCGTCCCTGATCTGAACTGCAGGTGAGGAGCATCACCTACATTTTACAAGGACTACAAAATTTTCCCCTACAATAAGCCTGAAACTCATCTATTTACAAAAGGAAATACATTTCCTGTATACAAATATACAATTTAAACACAATAGCTTAGCGACATCTGTAAACCACAAGCCCGTAGTCAAACCAATCTTCCTCAGAACTGACAGTTTTTAACGCAAAAACACAAAAAGTTCCATAAATTATGGTCAGACAGTATGGTACAATTGCATCTGCTTTGTTAGTATGGTATAGGACAAATACCCACAGGAGGTTAGGAAGGAGTTTATGAAGCATATCTACAGTGCACGGGCAATAGATAATCAAGTCAGAAAGGCAGCCTCCATTGCTAGGAAATATCAGCCACACAAAGTAGAGAGCCTCATTTCCTTGGTTGTCATCTATAAGACACAATCAAAAATCCTACGCAAAATCATAAAGCAACTCTAATGAGTACTAAAAAAAAAAAGAAAGATAAAGAGATAAATTCCCAAACCCTCCCATCCTTTCCTTCAGAAAACCTCTTAACCTAAAACGAGTGATTGTCCGCAGCACCTTAAAAAATCAATTCAGAAATGGTGCATCTTCCTGCCTATACAATGATGTGAGAGCTTAGACCTTCTCTTTCCACTCAGACATAATCATGCGGTTTATTTGATACAACTGTTCTGCTGGAATCTCATTTTCAGCTTCCTCACCAAATGAGTTGGCAAGTGGGGATAACTGAATGCATTGGTCCTATCAGCATTTAAGCTCTTAGCTTTTTGGGGGAGTTGGCACCATTGTGGACACTGACTGGGATCCTTTCCCAGGTTCATTGCAATGCCCTTGTCTTAACTACCTCTGTGGTTAGCTCTAGCCCAGACTCTTCTTCTTGTGGGTCAACCTCAGGGGTGACATATGGGCCTGGCTAGTCTCAACTCAAGCTTTAATTAAACTCACATGCATGCTACTTCTGGTTGTAAAACGCCTTCTGTCTTTCCCAACGTTCACAATTTTTCCACTTCTTCGTCTGGAGATCTGTGTTCTTTCACTAGGCACTGGCATACCTTTGGTAGCATGGGGTCCACTCCTCTGACACAGAGTCACTATCTGAGAAAATGGGAGTTAGTAGCTGTTGGACCAAGTTGGTATTCTTTTCCATGATCAATGAGCCTGAAGTGGACCCAGGGAGTTGTGGACACTTAGAGTATTGAAAGTTTCAGACTGTCCACGTCAATGGAGGGATCAAATGCCAACTAGGCCAGCAGATACGTATCATATGGGAACTTCTAAGCCCTGATATACCAGATCTCCAAGTCTTCCAACTTCCACAGGAATAAATGCCTCAGATGTTTACCATGCAAGTCTCTGTATGAAAGGGTCTTTTGCATACCCAAATTAAGGAGAACCTTCATGTAGATGCTTTGCACAGGCAGAGTGGGAGAAGGGGCTACTATCTTGGTGTTGCAAATCCGGCAGTTGGAGCTCGTACTGTTTTCCTTTTTAAGCTTGTTTCCACCAACCTTCTGACTGGTCTTTTGACAGTTGATGTGCATTGCCATCCAATAAAAGGAAATTCTGATGTTGAGGGAGGTGTTTCTAAAAATATGCTCAATTAAGTAGGTTCAAGTGAGGCCTTATTTAAAGGCGTAAACTCCCCCTCAACTTTTTTCATTTTGAATCCAGAGCAAGCTGGATTTTTTCACCCACCAACCTAACTGTGGTTAACAATTTTGACACACAGAGCCACTCATGGCTCTCTTGACCTCGAACATGGCTTCCTCTTTGATATACTGTATCAATATACTCTAATGATGTTGCTTTTTCTAAAATCTGAATCCAGAGTGGTATAGAATCAAATGCAGGGCACCTCGCAGGAACTGCTTTATTCTGGCCTCATCTATACCCTATGTTAACTTTGGCTGTTTGGGCATTTGGTATTACTTCCACTATTACACATGATAGCTACTCATTGTAAACGGTTTTAGGGAAACTGGCGGGTACAGGCACCGCCAAATCCTTAACAACCAGTGATATCATCGGCCCATTTACTTACATAAATAGAAATCCACAGCCGTGTAAGAAAAGGGTCGAGAATAGCTTAGTGAAAAAATGGTGTGGGGTTCCCTCCTTCCTTTTTATACCAGACCCTTTGAGTCTGGCATTAATTTTTAGAGGGTACCCCACACAAAAAAAAAAAAGAAAAAATGTGCGTGAGTAAGCTCCCCCAGGAAATCCATACCAGAACCTTAATGCATGCAGTTTGGCTGGCCACGAAAGAGGGGGGGAACCATATCTGCCCACATGTCATCAACATGGGGGGGTACCTTGCTGAGGCAGCCTCCCTTGCAATGCATCTTGTCCCCATGTTGATGAGGACAATGGCCTCTTCCCCACAACCCTGGCTCAGTGGTTGTGGGGGTCTGAGAGTAGAGGGCTTATCACAATCTTGAAACAACTCCACTTAACAATAGGGAGGTATGCAGATTATGGCCCTCCCCCTGTGTGAATTAGTATACGGTTCATAGTGCCCCTTCTCATTCACAACAAAAAAGTTGTAACCTAGATGTATTACCCAAACTATCCAAACTATGACAAGTGCTACATTAAAAAACAAAAATCCCCCAAAAAGTAGACATTGACATGGCCATATATGGACAATAATGTTACTGGGGGAGGATTCAAAGACAGGTAGCAGCAAAGCAATGCAGTTATCAGGATCAATGCCCACTGCCTGACATCATTCTGTGATGGACTTTGATCCCATCTTGTCCACCTGGCTTGTTACTCTGCGTATAGTCGTCACTCTGCGAAAAAGACCAGATGGGATCCCAGATGAGCCCCCATTTCTAGTACTTGATGTTTGGGTTCTCCTGTTCCTGGTGCTGACAACCCACTAATGGCACCACACCAACAGCCCAACAATGGCACCAACAAATTTTGAGGCTATAAAGGAAGTTACTTTATTTGAGCAATAGCACTCAAGAATATAAAACAACAGCCATGAACAGTGATTAACACTAGTTTAACACAATACCAAAACTCAAAGCAAATTATATACTTTACACTGCTGGACAATACTCAGGTCATAGTATCACTAAACTGAAAAGGGACCCAGCGGCTAAAAAGAACCACACCTTAGAGTCTTACAGGGGAAATGGCTCTCCATACCCCACTGCCCCTTTATCTACTATTTGACAAAGGCTGACACCTGCACCCAAGTAAAATGTTGAAGCATTCACCCCCTTGTTGTTGTTGAGTAAGGATATATATCATTCCACCAGGTCAGGCAAAACAAAAAAACAGTGAATGGCATGAAGCCTTTTACCGATGCAGCATGGTCTTTGAGTTTCCAGATGGCCCTTGTGAAGGCCAGCAAAAAGGATCCTCCCTTTGAACCTGGTGGTTCCCAGCTTTTACAGGCTGTACTCTTTGCAATGTTGTAGATCAAGCTATTTCTTGGAAGTCTGTAAGTTCAGAATCACAAACCAGTATAGCAGTCACCAGAATCAAAGGTCAGTCATCATGGACAGGCTACCCCCTGTAGTCCAACAGAAACCATGTTTAGCTCACTGCTACACCCAGCAAATGTCCCACCCAGGCAGTATTGTAAGGAAACAGTCTCTTACTAGGTCTGGACACAGCCACAGCCTCCCTGTGGATCAGCAAAAAGCAGCCTCTGGCTCCTAAGCTCCAATACATGGCAGCCATTCAACGTAGCTTTGTCCCTCAGTATCCTCCAAACTGCAGCTGAACAGTGCTCCTCTACCTTCTGTTCTCCATGTGAGGGTCCAGCTTGTGGAGTGAGCTCACTGCTCTCACGCCACACACATGTTCCCCCTGTTTCCTGCTTTCCTTCAGCCTGTGTCAGAGATGCCTCATGGGGACTACTTTACCCAACATACATTGGTAAGCAGGCTTTCTGCCTGCAGCCACAGCTAATGGACATCCTTGTCTCTCTTGTCTTCTCTGGGCCTCTGTGTCCTAACCTGCAGCGGCATTGTGGGTATCCACTACAAGCCTGAGATATGTGGCTGTCTGTCCCCTAAGGCCCTGCTGGACAGGCTACATGGTTATACATCTAAACAGTTCTGACTTTGCAAATTCTTTAACTGCCGACTTCTCTACAATACTGTTGTAGTATATGCCAGCATTTAATATTACAACTCCTTGTTTCTAAGGGACACATTTACTATGCAGGGCTGAAAATGTAAAAAGCTGATATTATAAAAAGTCATCTTGATGATATTAATTAGAGCTCATACATACAAGTACCAAAATGTGATACTTGGCAACATTTCCTGATGGGCACCAAGCTTTGTTCAGTGCTTGGTGTATAATAACTATACTGAGCCACATGCACTAAGGAAAATCACATCATCGCTTTATTTCATGCTGTTCATTTCCTGCCAAAAAAAACATTGCATGCAACGTTATTTGACATTCATTGTTATGCCCCAATTAATTTTACCAAAGCTTCCTTTGGTTACTTTCCTGCCAGTTAAAGCATTAACACTTGCACAGGAAATAAAATCACTCTATGAATCATTATTTAATAATAAAAAACTTAGCAATATTGCCAAGTACGAGCATGCGTGCACTAAGTGCTAACTGACATGTCTTTAACTTCAGCAGTATGGCTAGTTGGTGTCACTGTTGCATGTTAAAACCCAGTAACAACATAGGCTAGACTATGAGGAAAGCAAGGCTAGCAGAGATGGCAGCACTTCCAAAGTATTAGGCCCCTTGCACATGGGTGTCATAGTTTACTGATGTGTACTCAGGAACATGTGATGTTCGTGTAAAAGGGGCCAAAAGCTGTGTAAAGACCTGAGTAATGTTAAGTATAGACGAGTAAAGATGTGTAAGCGTATAGATGAGTATAGACGAGTACATTTTTCTTCATTGCCAGTATTGTGGCCCCTTGCACACAGGTGTCACAAGTTCCTCAGTAAACAGCAGTAAATGATGACGCTCCTGTGCAAGGGGCCTAAATGAGT